GGAGGGCAGCCGCACCACCCTCCAAGGCGCAGCCCTCCCCTCCCCAACACCTCTCCTCCTCTGTTGTGTGCTTGGCGAAGCCCTGTCGGAGTACTGCCTCTCCACCATCACCTCGCCGTCGTGCTGCCGGTGGAGCTGTCTTCCTCAACCTCTCCTTCCCCCTTGCTGGATCAAGAAGGAGGAGACGTCTCCCGTCCCGTACGTGTGTTGAACGCGGAGGTGCTGTCCGTTCAGCACTTGGTCATCGGTGATTCGAATCACGTCGAGTACGACTACATCATCACCTTGCAAGCTTCCGCACGCGATCTAAAGTGGTATGTAGATGCAAACTCTCTCCCTTGACTCGTTGCTTAGATGAACTCATAGATGGATCTTGGTGAAACCGTAGGAAAAATTTTAATTTTCTGCAACGTTCCCCAACAGTGTGAACCTTATATGTACAGTAATTTGGATCACAAAATTTGTTTACTTCAAATGAGTCTTTTTTTAGCAATGATAGAGAGTTGATATCCTTCTACATATTGTACACTTTTTTTTAACTTAAGGCCTGTACACTTTGGAAACGATGTTTTTTTAGAGAAAAGAAGAATCTATTTCAACCGATATGCTCTTAGACCATCTCTAACCGATCTCTTACAATTTATAGGGAGTATATAGCCTCTTAACCTTTAGAGGAGTATAATTTGCTCCTATAAAAAAGCATTTTCTAGCTGAAACCCTAAACTTAACCCTGAAGTTGCACTTGACTCGTACATTTCTATGAACCTCCGCAGCGATCGACGGCGATGGTGACCACGCCCGCCGCTGCATCCCGGGTGGCGCGGGGGGCCACGACGAAATGACCAGCCGCATCTCGTGTTTCAGCATCGGCAACTTCTGTTGGAGAGATGCCCTAGAGGCAATCATGTATGATGATAGTTCCTATGTGTTTATGAATAAAGATAGTCCTTGGACGTTATCAACGATGTGTATCAGCAAGTACATAACTTGTTTATGAGACTATGCATTGTATGATGACTGCCTAAAAGGTCTCTAGTCGAAAGGGTTGTATGAACGCGTAGCCGACTAGACTAACATATGACATGGCGGATGGCTCGGTCTCACTGGCCATGCAGCATTGGATGTTAACCGGATAATATGGGCTCAGAAGAATCTGGTCGGATTCGACATACTTTGATCCAAGCCAAGATAAGGCCCGAGTCGGCAGACGCAATCATAAGACAAAACGATATGCCATATGTGAGTCTCTGGTATAACATACGTTCTATGTCCTAAGACCTAAGTTGTCAAATGTACTCGGGATGGCGACAGACTTGCTTTGACCCGACCAAACGTTACTCCGTAACTTGGTAGTTATAAAGGTAGGTTTCGGGCTTATCCAGACTCTTGCTGCGAGACATAGTCGAGAAAAATGGGATTTGCCCCTCCGATCAGGAGAGATATAATCTGGGCCGCTCGTGTGATCCGACCAGGATTATCATGGCCATGCGACAAGGATTATGAGATAGTGTGGTTTATGGTTGGTATCACTAGAACGAGAAAGAGGTCAGGCTAGCACAAGGATGACAGACTCGCCTTGAGCCCGACAACATATATCGTTGGGTCTATGCCTTTTGCTCGTGATTTGTGTACCCTTGTCCTTCTTCAACCGAGGCCTAGAGCTCGGGGTACTCGGTCCTGTTGACAGGAGTCCAAGGGCTTGACCCCATGCAGAACCCTACTGTCTCGCCGGCCTTCAACCACACTGTCCACGTCAACAACAAGCAACACATACGGCGAGTCTACCAGGGGAAGAGAAACGTGGTCGTGTATTACAACGAAGAACCCGAGTATGGTGACCATGACGAGGTGGATTTTGAGTTCTTGGGCAACGTCGATGGCAAGCCAGTGGCTCTCCAGACCAACATCTTCCTCAATGGCCAAGGCTATAGGGAGCAGCAGTTCTACCTCTGGTTCGACCCATCAGCAGCTATCCATGACTACAAAATACTCTGGAACGAGCACCAGCTCGTGTAAGTCATCGATCGGCTGCCTATTCCTTTTGTCCCTACATATGTACTCTCGGCATATATATCATGTGCACCTCGATCGCAGGATGCTGGTCGATGAAACGCCCATCCGGGTGCTCAAGAACCTTGCGGGCCGCATGCCAGGCTACCAGTTCCCGATGAGGCCGATGAGAATCCGAGCGAGCATCTGGGACAGCTCTCCCTGGGCGACCGACAATGGCAGGATCAAGGTTGACTGGAACCGTGCGCCATTTACCTCCGCATTCCAAAGGTTCAATATTGACGCCTACCCCGCCACCGGAGGTGCGCCGTGTGGCTCGCCCAACCTGTGGTGGAACAAGTTTTGGGACCTGACGCCCGCACAGAAGGCAGCGTACAAAAATGTCAAGAGCAAGTACATGACCTACAACTACTGTGATGACAAGGCAAGGTTCAACTTCCGTGTTCCGGTAGAGTGCAGCCACAACTAACTAGAAGCTTTCCGTGTGGCCGTAAACAAATTTATGTAATATGTAAATGCTCGCTCGTGAAAAGTCTAGTTCAACCGATTCTAGCAATTGTTGCGGTTGAAGTAGATTCTTCTAAACCTTTTCCCAAACTGTACAAGGTTCTAGATACCCCATGAATAAAGGATCCAGTTATATATAAAGCTCAGATTAACTAGGTGAAATGTGTCACAAGACGAAAGGTTGTAGATACTCCATGAATAAAGGATCCAAATTATATATAGAGTTCAGATTAACTAGGCGAAATGCGTCACTAGTCCATTAACTCTACTGAGCGAAATGTGTCACTAGTCCATTCACTCAAACCCAAACCCTTTGGCCATTTTTTTTAGAGAAAAGGTGTCCGCCAAGCCCGAGAAAAGGCTCGAACCTAACCCGGCTTTGAATTAATAAAGCCATCAACCGGCCAGGATTACAAGAAAGCGTACAATAGGATAGAAACAGAAACGGCAAAGATATAGAGAGCTGTAGCAGCTTACAACCTATTTGTGATACAGGCAAACAAGAGATAGTAATAGGAGCCTAGCCAAGATCACCAAGGTCAGACGCCATGAGCAATAGCCACACCAGCAGCAGGGTGAGGGCAGGAAGAAACCAGCATCGACAACCAACATCTACTCGCCTACTCCCGCAGATCATGCCAAGGTCGACAAGCCACTCGCTTCTACCTCCGAAGAAGACCACAATCCTCTCGCCCTGGCTCGAAGGGCGCCGAACCGTCGGAAGGTAGAGTGCTCACCCTAGAGCCGATTGAACAATGCCGCCGGGCAGCTCGGGCATGAGGGAGCAGAGCAGCACCTCCGCTGGGATCCCACGACCTCACCACCACGGCAGCCGACGGCGGCGGAGGGAGGAGGAGGCGGGCGGGGGTGCCTGGCGCCGGATCTAGGGGTTCG